CTGTGGCTTTCAAAACCATCTTTTTCTTTCATTTTTTGTTTTATAAAAATGTTTTAAATACTCTAACTACTTGAAATTGTCATTTCTCACAAATTGCGTGCTGGTTTTCAAAATTTACACCTTTGCCATTTCTTTTCTCTTCCATGGCCACCCTTAAAACAAGTGAAAGGAAAGGTAAATGTATCACGACGCAATCCAGCGACTAACAAGCTCGAGGCCAAGCAGCAGGGCATTGCCACAACTATTTCTATTATAAAACTGCGTAAGCCAGCATATTCCTCTAAATCCAACTTCTTTGGCGTGCGTGAGAGCGGAATTTGTAACTGTGTGCTTGGGGAGATAATTAAAACAGAATGGGGAGGGAGGGGTGGGGGGATAAAAACATAGCAACAACAATGCACTCACCAAAATTGCATTCCACGCGTGGCAGCAGATCCGTTCCCAATCTTTCTATCGCCTGCTTTTTCATTGTTAACCGATTTAGTTTGTGTTGACTGTGTATACGTGCGCCGCGACGCGATGTAACGAGGACCCGCGCATTGTCCTCGATAAAGACAAAAATAAGGAAAATAACATTTCACGCTGACGTTTTTTTTTTACATCATTCCGTTTCAGTGCTTCTCATGCGTAGCCCCGTTGCGATGACCGCGCGCGCGCCTGTAAATCTGTTAGGCTCGCGACCAGATCAGACAGATTTCAAATGGAGTCTGGATGAAACCAGGGAGGGCAACTCCCACGAAAAATCAAGTCCAATCGACCGGTGACTCCCCACCCCCCTCTCCCTCCACCCACCCACCCCCGATGGCATTTCAACACCTCTGCTGGTGTAGCAATGAATTGACCGAACACATTGACCAAACCGTGGTGGCGAGATGTTAATTACTTCGCCTGGTATGCGGGAGGTTCGTGGGTTCGATCCCGACCCTGACTCATGCTGGTCGCGTGGTTTCTTTCTCCGGGTCCCCCGGTTTTTGCCCTCCACATTTAGAATCAACATCACGCGTTTGCAGTGTGTGGCTGCTATACATTTCCACGTGATACACCACTACCTCGAGCTATCATCTGTGGTGGCCAGGTCGCTTCTATAAAAAAAAAACCCAGCCAAATAGCTCAGTGGGTCATACCTGTTCAAATATTTTTACTTGTTTCGTTTCAGTTTAGTTTGTGGTGGGCGTCCTCTCACCGGTATGTTCCCTCCTTGGCTTCCACGTCACCGTTAGTCTTGTCCCCCACCGGTCATCGTGCCATGCCACAGTTCCACCCAAACCCACTTCACTCTTCGTATCATTCATCATTGAACATCGCCCGCCATCCACTATTCATGCTAGCTTGGAAAAAAATACCAAACCATACCTTCGGCGTAGCTGTACACTTCTGTAAGGGAGGCACCACCATTCTCTCTCTCTCTGTGTCAGCTATTGCTTCAGGGAGATTTTTCTCAAATGCCCAAAGACATTGGAGATGAAAGACGTAAGACTGGTGGCGGCTGCTGTGGGCTTCATACGAGACGTGATGTCACGCACAGTCTCGGCACTGGCTGCACACAGAACTACAAGAGGCTTAAGGTGGCACCGAACACTGCTGCTTGTGTTGTACTGATGAGGATGAGGCCGGTTTGCAGTTGTGTTTGTTTCACTGCTGCCTGTTGTTGGGATAACACGTTCTCAACTTTTCTTTGAGTTGTGATGGCCTAACTTACAAAACGTTCACACATTCAGTTATTTTGAACTAGTGGTCTGGGCAAGGCTGGGCGCTTTTTAACGCGCAATGTACGTGTCCGTATGTTGTTAAAACTAGACTGGGATGTCCCTCTTTAAAATACATTTAAATCGGCTCAATCTTGATCAAGTGTCAGATGTCACCACATACCATTAGCCTACAGGAGGTTACTGGGAACTGTATTCGCAATTTACCCTGCACGGTATCCACTCCGCAGCGTATGCCCCTCCGACACAGCCAGTAAGGTTTGTCACGTAAACGACGCGCCAATTAGTTACTAGTATAGTGTAGTGTATATTGCAGTGTATAGTAATGTAGTCTACTACTTCAGCCCACCGGTGTGTTGGAGAGTACATCCACAACATTGACAATTTGAGTACCGTGCCGTTTCAATGGTAATTACATCCGGCGTCATCGGGCGATTTGACACATTTATACTTACGCGATCTAAACCAAAAACCTTGATGATGAATAATATTGGTCGCGAAAGCCTACGTGTTAAACTGTGCCCCTCCCCCTGAAAGGCTTTGCGAGCGTGACACCATGGGTCTCAAACCCTGACAAACCATTTATTGATCGTGACTGACACTTACCCCTGTTAAGAGTCAACTCTGGCGTCAATGAATCGAGTAAGATCAACAAAAGTGTGGTCAATCGATGTATTTCTCTCTCTGTCCTTTCAACAGTGTGACCAACAAACGCGCCGATTATGTTAATGACGTGGAACCTTTAAATACACAGAAGCGCGCGAACAGTGATCGCCAGTCGTATTTGACATCCAGTAACTGTGGTTGTACTTGCGGATCTTATCTTTAACCTACCCAGTAACCATCCGCTCGTAGTAGAGCACGGGCAAACCTCCAGAGCAAAGCTCTACCCCTTTCTGCATGTACGTTGCTTTTATCAGTTAAGAACAAGGGGACCACACGCACGTCTGTCTCGCTGGCAACGCCAACAAAGAGCCTACATTTACTGTTTGATTACCTTTATTATCGCGAAGCTCACCTGGGAAAAAAACATATTTGTGCGTGGCACAATGCTCGTGGCGTGCTGGGACACTAAAGTTCTGAAGTTCGCAAACAATCGGGGAGAGATCATAGATGCCTGGCTGGGAATTACAAGCGAGAGACTGAACGCACGTGGATCAGAGAACCGACGCAAGTGACTGGAGCAGAGACGCGTTGTTGACTGTTGATGGACAGTTCGTGGGTTTGGGCAGGATACGTTAACGTAAGGGATGGTGGGAGGCAGGGCGCCATGGATGATGGCGAGATGTTAACTACCTCGCCTGGTATACCCGAGGTCATGAGTTCGACCCCGACCCTGACGCTTGCTGTATATTTGGAGTTTGCGTGTCTCTCTCCCCGTGGTCATGTGGATTTTTTCTCCGGGTCTTGCGGTTTTTCCCTCCATATTTAGAAACGTGCATTTAGAGTATTTGGCTGCTATACAATTCCACGTGATAAAGCCACTTCGTTGAGCGATAATTTGTGGCCAGGTCGCTTCTGAAAAGAGCTGTATAGCTCAGTGGGCCTTACCTGATCAAATAAAAAATAGTTTATTTTTTCACAGTTTTAATAGATTGGCGATACGGGCGACAGGATGACAATCAAAACAGGAACAACCTCCCTCGGGAGATGGAGTGATGAGGTTGAACACGGAGTGTGTCCTCACAGGATTACGAGGGGGGTGGCGAATCCAGTATTGAGGCCTCCTTCATCCAGAAGCGGATAGAACAAGCTCTCAAATCTAGAACTCTTTGGGTTAGATCGCGTAAATATCAAAGTGTCGTTAAACCCGCCACCACATCTATAATTTACTCGAATTGTGGATGTTGTGGGTTTACTCTCCAGCACACCGGTGTGCTAAACTAGTGACGAATTGACACGTTTTGTTTCCGTGACAAACCTTACTAATCGGCTGTGTCGGGTGGTGGCGGGTGTAAAGACACATTTATATTACGCGATCTAACCCCAAAAACCTCGATTATGGAGAACATGGCTGATAATGATGATGCATTTAACCTTGGCGATTTTCAAAACTGAGTCAACTTCCCAGAGTTTAAAGTAAAATAATGCGGGACAATGTTCCAACTGGTGCGACAAAAACACTCCTAACAAACAGGGCATCATGAAGAGTACTGAAGCATATTGTTATACTTTATGTTTTATAGACCCCTATACACATGTTACTACTCCAGCTCTATATAGCGGCAGGGGGGCTGGAGGGAGCTGAGCCCCCCCCCCCCCACCACGCTACTGGAAGCTCGGCCCCTCTCCCAATTATTATGGTCCAATTATGTATTAGGATCGCAGCCTTTGGTCAAATACACAGCGGGTGACAGCGAGAGCCGAGAGCTCACGATAAACACGCACAGGTCCGCATCGTCTCGCACGCTGTTTGGCGATCAACATTTAAAGTGTAACACTCCACCCCCACCACCCCTCTCTCCATGCACACGAGGGTTGGACGGTTGTATACGAGAGTGCACGCGATACAGTATACATTCCAACAGTACACTTTGCTGGAGTTAATCAACTTGAGTCATCATTCAGCATCAGCAGCAGCCGTGGTCAATCCACTGCTGGATGAGGGCATCTATCCCCTAGCAGCCACCACCTCGCACGATCCTGCGAGCTGGAGTAATACTCCACCTGCGTGTGGAGTAATTTAATCGCTCCGTCTCCTGATGGATGTGCCCTAGCACTCGTGCCGCTCCCAATGATCGGTCACTTTTCTTGTCACGGTCCAACTCCACTGACGAATATTTGAATCGGTCCCTGGTCTCCCATAAGTCGACTCAGTCTCAAATGAGTACCTGGTGCGGTGTGTAAACATCGCCACCGGGGAGACAAAGGCGGCCGAGCGTCGTGCTGGCCACCCACCCCCTCGTGCCCCGCACTGACCTTCACAGGTGCTCGCTAACAACACCTGCCCCAACATTCTAGATTTGAAGTTTTCGTGACTGCAAGGTGAAAACAAAATAAAATAAAACTAAATTAAATCACTGATTTAATAAAAAAAAAATTTTATTAAATCACTGATTTTTATTTATTTGTTTTATTTTTATTTTATTTTGTAAATCACTGATTTAATTTAGTTGTTTTATTTTTATTTTATTTTGTTTTCACCTACGTGACTTTACCGAAAAAACCAAAGAGTACCTGCCCCAACAGTCTCTTGAGGCTATATAGGGGTGGTGTATGTCTTTATGCATTACAACGCCGACAAACTTGTGAAACGCAGCAGCTGAACACGTGGAGTCACGCATCGTCACTTACTTGTTGCAGGAGACAGAGCCAAGGAGGGTGAGCGAGCGAGCGAGACGAGTGAGTGGCGTGCTGGACGTAGCTGGACGCGCGTGCGACCTTGAAAGGCGAAATCTGCCGATATGCCGCTCAACTCTCACCAGTTCGGCGCTCCGAGCGAGCTTATTTATACACTGCGCTGCAGATGTGCGCCCACGTGCGTTCACAGATGTCACGGGACATCATCACCAGCGGTGTTATTATGGTGACTTTGAGACCCGCTCCCTCCCTCCCTCCCTCCTTCGCCCTCCTCCTGCAATTCTTTCTTGTGCGAACCTCCCTCCCACTTTCCTTTTGAGCGTGCTTAGCTGTAAACCTCACACAGAGCGATTGGAGCGGTGTCGTGCCCTGCAGCAGCAGCAGCGGCAGCGGCAAGAAGCGCGAACTCTCCGAGCAGTCGACACGGGGCACACAGACACACGAGCAACGGAGAGCTTTCACGCCTGGCTCGCGACCGCTTGTTTACACGACGGAACATTGCAAAGACGTCGCGAGGAGGTTGCGTTGGAACGGGTGCATCTCTCGTCCCCTGCGTGGTGGCGTCTCAACAGCAGAGCAGCATCAGCAGCAGCGCCCGGCTCGCAATCGGAAGGGTCTAAGTTCAATTCCTGGTTACGGGGAGTTGACTCAGCTGCATCATCCTTCCGCGGTCGATAAAAGCAGTAGCACTTTGTGGAAAGGCAACAGTGGTTGTCCTATGGATGGATACGCCACCCACACCTCCTGCCCGTCCCTCTTCAGCGATAGGAATGTGGAATTTCCACCGCTGACTCAAGACTAAACAGGAGGTGAACACCGACTCAATGCTCATTTGAAGAAAGCACAGCTATGAAGGAGAGCAATTACCCGAAACGTCGCCTAGTAGATATATATTTTAGTTTGAATGGGAGTGTTGTTGTCATATGTGCTGATTTTGTTGTTGGTGAATATGAGCTTTGTCCACCACTGCCAATGCAGTATCATTAAATATTTGCTAATAAGTTGTTCTGCGTAGGTTTCAATGGCTGTGCTTTATCGCTCCCCGATGCCCGTTGGTCGGTGCCTCGTGTTGTTCGCCGTCATATCCGACGTTTCGCTCTACGTGCTTCTTCAGGAGCTGAATAAACCCGAAGTTAGCATTGAAATGCTCCCGACACTAATCTTGGTGTTACTCGGTTGGCGAAGTAGCTCCCGGCACGTGGGGCGAAACGTCGGACATCGTGCCGAGCAACACGCGGTCCCAACGCGAAAACACATCGTAGAATACTCTTAGGTTTTTTCGGTAAAGTCACGTAGGTAAAAAATTAACTTAAACATTTACAAAAATAAAATAAAAATCACGACGTTTCGGAGGCAACACAAGCTTCCGTCTTCAGGTGGAACCGTCACAACACGATTGCTGTATCACGATTGCTGTATCAAGTACTTGATACAGCAATCGTGCTGTGACGGTTCCACCTGAAGACGGAAGCTTGTGTTGCCTCCGAAACGTCGTGATTTTTAATTTACTTTTATTAACTTTAATTTTACTTTTTACCTACGTGACTTTACCGAAAAAACCTAGGAGTATGAATCCTTGCAGTCACGAAAGCTTCAAATACACATCGTAGAAGATGCGAAGAACACTCGTCAACGGAGCTGATGAAACATCCCGATACAGAATCCTCCTGAGCGGAGTCTTCGGACTCAATGAGTCTCACGTGGACAAAGACAATTGCGTACAGCCCTTTGTCAATCCACTGCTTGGATGACGGTCTTCCCAACGCTGTGTTGGTCATGGGGAAAAGGGGGGGGGGGGTGCTTGACCATACTTCACCACGCTGGTCAATGCGAGTTGGTAAAGTTGGCAGGTTCGGAAACAGTCGAGACGAGACTCGCCATTTAGGGGCCGTCCATAAATGACGTCACGCGATTTTGGACGATTTTTGACCCCCCCCACCTCGCCACACGGCATCAAAATGCTCAACTTTAAATAAATCTAGAATTGTTATAACAACACTCCTACAACATCAGAGTGCAGCGAAACATTAAATACGCACTACAATAGTTTAAAGCGATTTGAATTTGAAGCATGTTTTATTTTATTTTTTGGGGGGGGCAGAGCTTTATGACGTAATTTTTGAGGGAGGGTCTGACTTTTTGTGACGCCGTGTGACATGGGGGGGGGGGGTCAAAAATCGTCCAAAATCGCGTGACGTCATTTATAGACGGCCCCTACACACACAACAAGCTTCTATCATCATGATGCATCGTTTTTAGACCGCCGCATCAATGATTATTAACGAGGTTCTCACGTGACAGCCCATCGCGTGTAGTGCATGCAAACCAAGTCGAAATCCCGAAAACAAATCCCCTAACCTGATCATTAAACTATCGGTCATGGCGCTGCTTATCAGCTGTACCATTTAAAATGTCTTCATTTCAAAACCGTACAACGCATAGGTGTGCGGCATTGTGTAGTCGTAGTGCGGCTTGATAGATCTGCACCGTTAAGTTTGCATGCACCGGTAGGAGAGGTGAGCGTCAGGTGCGTTGATTGACTGGCGGTTGGTGAATGTCGCGTGTGTGTCCTGTGGTCGTTAAGAACCACGTACTTAAAATTCACAGTGATCTGCATACACAGAACTGAAATTTGAAACATTCTTAATGAATGTATAAACACATTCCTGCGGAGGGAGCTGGTAGGAACTTTGGGTTGCTCGGTCAATGTCCAGGGTCAACGGCGGCGTGGTGTATTCCGCAAATATGCCCGACTGTGAGGACGGGTACAAGCCGGCGTGAGTAGGTCAAACGTTGAGTTTTATAAGGGCACCACGGGGTGACCAGCCCCTCCCCACCCAGCCCCTCTACACCCTCCCCACCCAGCCCCTCTACACCCTCCCCACCCAGCCCCTCCCCACCCTCCCCACCCAGCCCCTCCCCATCCAGCCCCTCCCTCCCCACCCAGCCCCTCCCTGCACGACGGACGGATACAATAATCCCCTGTGGGCTGGTGTAACCAGGAGGTTCCTACCAGTATTAGGTTTATGAAGTGACTTCAAAAGTCTGCAATGACTAAGCGATGAGAGCAATTGCGGTTTTTTCTAACCTCCTTAAAGTCTCAACGGGTGACAAGCTCGGAGTTTTTAGAATGTAAAAGTACTTCTGATCGAGTAGGTCCCCCAACTTGTAATTGGGACGGCCAAATTCGCTGCAAGTTGAAGGGAATTTCAAAAACACGCACCAACAACCACACACACACATCAACGACTCGCCACGGACATGCAGGAGCAGCCCGGATGTATCGAGAGGTTAACCAAGTTCCAAGCGACAGCAAAAACACCGCGGCATAGTCATGGGAGGCCTCAATAGGAATGTCCGCAAAACAAACAAAAAAAGACACGGAGATGAGTGGATGGTTGGCAAGTTTAGCTTGGGCAGGAGGAATGAAAGGAGACCACCTTCCTCGACTTTAACACGTAGCAGGCTTTCGCGAGAAATATTATTCGTAATAAAGGTTTTTGGGTTGGATCGCGTTATTTATAAATGTGTCGAAACCCTCCACCACCCGACACGGCCAATCAGTAAGGGATTTGTCACGTAAACAAAACGCCAAATAGTTCACTACTTCAGCTCACCGGTGTGTTGAAGAGTGAATCCACAACATTTGGCAAATCGCCCGATGATGCTGCATGTAATTACCAGCGAAACGTAATACCAGATTGTAAATGTTGTGGATGCACGCTTCAACACACCGATGGGCTGAAATAGTAACTATTTGGCGTTTTGTTTAAGTGACAAATCCCTGACTGATTGGCCGTGTCGGGTGGTGGAGGGTTTCGACAGATGTATTCTTCCTCGAGTTCGCAGCCAGCAAAGGCATTCTGTCATTGCGCATGATCTGTGTTTTGATTTAGTGCGCTGATCTTAAAGGTGCATTGAAAAATGTTGATACTCCGACTGATGCTCCTACTGTTGTGGAGTGACTCATGCAGGCAGCTATGGCTGCAGAGTTTGGTAGTACATGTTGTTTACGTCGTTTATTGTGAAAATTCGGTCACAGTTCCTATGACCACTGTTTCATTGCTTTTATGGCTTTATTTTGGTGATTTTCGAAAAGTTTTTGGTTTGGCCATGTTTGTTTGTTGTAGTACAGAGTGAGACTGATGGCCTTAATCTAAGTTTTATTGTGGTTGTTGTTGTTGTTTGACTTGCATCCCACTGGGATATTTGCACAGGGTTGGTGTACGGTGATTTTTTCTGCAATATTTTTCTGTCTTTTCTTGGATTTTCTGTTTGCACATAGTCACTTAAGATGTTTTCTTGTTCATGTTATTTGTTTTCTGTTTGTTGCGGTTGCACCCGATTCAAGAGCCGAATGGCTCACAGGGCTATACCTAATATATGAACTTTGAACTTTGATGAGGGCAGCAATACGTGCACGAGCGAGATGCCAATGTCGAGGTCTGCTGTGCACGACGAGAGAGCTTCAGGGGGGAGGCCGTGGAGTGGTGTTGTTCCTCCTCGACTTCGAGCTTTCGTGACTGCAGGAGTTCTTGTTATTGGGTCTTTCGGGAAAGTCACGTAGAAAGGTTCAAAGAAAATTTTGAAAAAATGTGTTATTTTCTTTGAACCTATCTACGTGACTTTACCGAAAGACCCAAGAATATGTGTTGATCCTCCTTCTCCTCCTCCGTTAAAGGAGCGCGGACTACGCGTGTACGTACGTATGCTGAACCTCTTTCGCACCGTACCTTGCCAACCGCGCTAATCGGAAGTGCGGGGCGAGGACAACAAACTAAACCCAAAAAGCAGTTTCAAAGAAGTTAATGTTCAAGATAGATGTTTTTAACGTGCGTATAGCAACCCAGTTGGTTTAGGGGCCGTCCATAAATGACGTCACGCGATTTTTGACCCCCCCCCCCCGTTCGTCACACGACGTCACAAAAAGTCAGACCCCCCCCCCTCAAATATGACGTCACAAAACTCTGTCACCACCCCCCAAAAAAAAACATACTTCAAATCGCTTTAAACTATTGTCATTGTCGTGCGTATTTAATGTGGCGCTGCACTCTGATGTTGTAGGAGAAAACATTTATCAAAAAGTCTATTTAATTAAGTA